GTGCAGTGTTGGTGTAATGTGGCCTGTCCCTGGAATGTTCCTCACCCAGTAGCACCACTTAACCCTATAAAAACAAGATGCATTGTGTTGCAATTTGTTTTTGTTAATTCCCAGTTGTTCTCTTTGCTTTTCAAGGCTCCTGCCTGCGGATCCCTTTCTGCCTCTCTCTCTTTGCAGAATCTGTTTTGCAGGCATCAGCCTTTCCTCTCCTGTGTCCCTCAGATCATTAACTAGCTGCACTCTCTCTCTCTTTTTTTTTTTCTTTTGAATGTATCAGGCTACTGGAATCAAAGAGGCATTTCAGTGACTCAGGCGTTTCCCATTGCCCTATTCCAGCATCCTCTACTCTTAACGCTGAGAGCTTTTCATGTCCTATTTGGAACTGATAGGAAGCCCTTTCATTGTTTCACTACATGGATATTAACACTGATGAAGGAAATGCTCCATCTGATAACAGAACCGTTGAAAAGAGCACCGTTTCCAAACGAGCAAACTCTGAGACAGTGGATTAGTGCTGCCCGCACCAACTCAACCCTTCTTGCCTGGTCAGGCCAGGGCATAAGCAGGACCTGTCTCTCTTGCAGCCAACACTACTCTGGGATTTATTTACCCCTCTCTTTGAGGTCCTTCAGGAAAAGGGGATTTCCCCTGCCTGAGAAATGTTCATTGATCATTTTTACTCTTCAGATGAGAACAAGCAGAAAGGCCACAATGACCCAAAGGATCCATTGGCTTATGGAAGTCAATAACATCAGTGAATTTAAATCTAGGATGGATATGAATCTAGCTAACGGCAGTAGTTGAAGAGTAATATCCATGATGGGCAGGGCTGGCTCCAGGCACCAGCGCAGGAAGCAGGTGCTTGGGGCGGCCAATGGAAAGGGGCGGCACGTCCGGGTCTTCAGCGGCAATTCGGCAGCAGGTTCCTCGGTCCCTCTCGGAGGGAAGGACCAGCCACTGAATTGCCTCTGAAGAATGAAGCGGCGCAGTAGAGCTGCTGCCGAAGTGCCGCCGATCACGGCTTTATCTTTTTTTTTTTCTTCGTCGCTTGGGGCGGCAAAAAAGCTGGAGCCGGCCCTGATGATGGGACATGAGGTTGTGTGGTTCAGGTGATTGATTCATGGTTCTTCTCTGCCCAGATGTTTCCAAGCTGCAGGTTATTTCTATTTAATGCATTTTAACATTTATATGGCTATTTTAGCACCTTCCATCCCAGAATCTCAAAGCATCTTGCAAGCTTTAATTAATCAATCCTCACAGCCCCTTCTGTACAGTGAGTAAGTACCATTTCCTCTTTTCACAGGACAAACTGGAGCAGAGACAGAAAGAGACGTGTGCTGAAGGTCACACAGCAAGTCATTAACAGAGCCAGGAAAAGCACCCAGGGGTCCTGTCTCTCAGTCTTGTGCTCCCAGAGGAGATCACTGCCTCCAAAACTTCCAGCCAAACATTCAGCTTCCCTGGTCAACAGGAGACCTGTTCTGGTCCCAATCATGGCAGGTGAGTTTGCCAGCTATTCAGATACAATGTGCACAAGAGAAGTCAAGTTTCCCTTTTCAATAATATTTAATCTAGCCCTCGTCAAAGGAAAGTTTAGTGTCTATATATTGGTCCCCTTGTCTTCATTTTCTCTCTCTGAGCTCCTTGAAGACAGAAGCCTTGCCCATCTTAAGAGGAGGATGTGATAATCTGGGTCCTGACACCCGAAGGGGAGAATAGAAGGTTTAAACCCTCCAAAAGAGCAGTTGAACCAACTGATTACATTTTTATAGTTCAATAATACAGTACGTATTGAGTAAGGACTTTTATATGAAAGCTTGTAATGTTCTGAACTTGATGGTCATGATGCGATATGTATACAGACTGTGGTGATGAATCATCCATTGTCCAACCCAGGAAAAGACAATGATAGACCATTAGAGTTCATGGGAAGACACTACAACATCCCAGCTATCAAGTCAAGAGGGAATTTTCCCTCTCTGAATAAACCATGAGTCACTGTGGACAAAGAGGAGGGGGAAAAAAAGAAAGGAAAAAGCCTTTTAGAAACAGGCTTGGGACTAAGACTTTTTATCTAGAACTTGAGGGATGGACTCAAGACAAGAGGCTGTCCATGAACGCTGGTTCCCCTTATCCTAGGGTTTATGCTGGGAAACTGTTTGAAGGCAATAGGTAACTTGTATTAGAAGAGGGATTTTATCTACGATGGACATATAAAGCCTGAGGGTTCTGTGCAGCTGGTATATGTTTGCTCTCACTATTTCATCTTTGAATCTGTGTTTTTTCTATTCAATAAACTTTTTGTTTATTTTTCTCCCCAGCAGGCCTCTGGTGTGCAAACTGTATGGCGTGTGCGCCAAAGTCAGCTGGTATCTGGGCGCTGGTTCCAGGCCTTCTGGGGTGGCAAACCAGACAGGAAGGGTTAAGTGGCTGGTACTTGGGGAAGACAGAGTTGGGGAGACTCAAGCCTGGAGGGGTTTCTGCAAAGAGTAACTAGGCTGTTGGAAGCCAGGGGGAGCCCTTGTGCTCAGGGGTATGCTACTGGTGTCAGGGAATTGAACCATAGCTGCACAGCACAAAGATCCCCCAGAGTTACAGGGCAGGTGGTGACAGGGCCCTTTGCTGGTCTGTGTGGGCTCAACAATGTCGTAGAGGGTAAATGCAGAGCTGCTAAAGGAAGGGACACCAGAGCCTGAACTCCTCTCTCATCTTTCAAGGCAGGGAAATTTGCCTGGCTCATGCTGTCCCTGTTCTGTGGATAGCACTGTCAACTAGTACCTTCCCCCAGTGCTAAAGTCACAAAAAGTAAAAAAAATCTTGTAAGTCTTAAGCAAAACAAATGGCCTCTCCCTTGTCAGTATCTGAATCCTTCCCCTTGATAAGGTACAGCAAAGGGCCTGATTATCACAGGGACAGGCATGCATCAGCCTGCCTAATGTATACCCGCTTTTACTGCCGTTGAGCACACAACTTGGGCATTTGATCGCTCAAGAGGCCAGTGAGGCCCTTAACCTGTGGATAGGCACACAGGACTTGCCCCACTGAATCAGACCCAATTGCCCTTCTAGTCCCGTGTCCTGACTCCTACAGTGGCCAGTACCAGGTGCTTCAGAGGAATGTGTGAGAACCCTACCGTGGGTAGATGTGGGATAATCTGCCCGCCTTGTTACCGCTCATCCCAGTCCCTAGTAGCTAGGGATTGGCTTAAACCCTGAAACAGGAGGTTTAACGTCCCTTACAAGATGTTGCTATCATAAATACCTGACTAGCGCCCTCTGCTGCAGCCCCTACTCACCAAACGTACATGCTTTCGAACACCCGCTTCTGTTCTGAAGTCAGGCCCCAAAGTGCTCCCCACCATCATTAATATTCATTGGCATGGGCACCCCTTCGCTCACATCATTTCTCTTTCCAGAGCTCTCTGCTCTTCAAAGTGATGAGACGGGGTTTGATTGTTCAGGGTGTTTTGTTGTATCCTAAAGGTCTCTCCAAAGCTGGCTGGGCCCCTCAGTTTTATGTCCAACCTGAAAGTCATTTCCTTTCGCTGTGGCCGCTCTAATCAATTAGCTGCCTATAAATAGCCTTGCTGATTTCACTATGACATCCTCAGTGCATTGTCGCTGCCAACTTCCTTCTCTACCTGGGGAGCTGTTTTTTTCCACAGATCAGAAAAAGCTCCGAGGGAGGTTAGGGGAGGGACAGCGAGAGGGTGGAGTGGGCGGTTAGAGACCTGGTGTTCTGCTCAGTTTAATGGCTCCAATCTCCGGTCTTACTTTCCACTATGTGTCAGGCCCCTCCCTTTCTCATGAGGAAGTTGTATGGAGTGCAGAGCTGCTGCTGCCCTAAATTATTCATTGTTTCTCTAAATATCTGGACCAAATACCCTAGCAAAGCAGAATGGTCCAGTCCTATGAAGAACTGAGCACCTGGAAATCCCCAGGCAGGCCCCCTTATGAACAATGGCTTCCTGGCCTCAGAGCTGCACGCAGGCAAAGCCGCACAAGACACAGAATCCAACCCCTCCTCTCAGTAAGATGCTTGAGTTAGCATCTAGCTACCCTTGGGTGACCAGTGTTGATGCACCCGGTAATTGGTGATAGGCCACTCTCACAAGCTTTGGAGGGGAACTTTATAATGGGACTGCCAGACCAGACCCATGGTCCACATAGTCCAGTATCCTCACTGCAACAGTGGCCAGAACCAAATGCTTCCGGGGAAGATGCAAGAAACACCAGAGGAAGCAGGTATGAGATAGTCTGGCCCCTAGGAAGGCCACATCCTTATCTCTAATGGCTCGAGATTGGCTTAAACCCTGAAACTTTAGATTTTATATCCCTTCCAAATATTTTTTTAGTGTTGACTATTAATTCCAAATATTCTTGTTATCCACATAGTTTTCCAATTCCTTGATCATCTTGCTAAATTCTTGGCCTCAATGACATGCAGTGGCAATGAGTTCCACAGTTTCTTTATGTGCTGTGTGAAAACCTATTTCCTTTGATCGGTTTTGAATGTGCCACTTTTCCGTTTCACGGACTATCCCCTTGTTCTTGTGTTAGGAGACAGGGAGAGCACAAGCTCCTGATCTATCTTCTCTATACTTTAAAATTGCAGTGCCTATGGCCATTGCCCTCTCCTTAAAATCCCTTCACAAAGACTGTTCCCAACCAATTCATAATGGCTGGCTAAGCAGAGAGACAGATGGGGATACCTGAGATTTACTTCAGCTATTTATATCATCAGAAAATTGCATATCTATCTATCTATCTATATCTATCTATCTATCTATATGTGCCTATGAACATTGTACACATTCTATTGTATCCCTCTCTCCTCATACTTTTTATGTCCTTGTTGTCTGAGACTGTAGTGTAAACTATTTGAGGTAGGGACCATATTTCATTGTGTCTCTAGAGCACCCAGCACAATGGGCTTCCCAAACCTGATCTGGCCCTCTGGACACTACTGCAGTATAAATATTAAATAATAATAATGCTTACCTGAACTTGAGCCAAACGTCTTGCTTCTCCAGAAGTGGAGTGGAAATCTCTCCCTTGCCATCTTCTCAGGAGATTTATGCTTCTTGCTCTTTGTCGGGCTAGAACTACCACAAGTACGGACTTTCTTTACAATGCTTCGGCCCTTCCACTTCAAGCTGGAATCAAAAGGGAAAAAGAATTAAAACAAAACATTAACAGACTGTTGCCAAACTTCAAAAGAGGCCCAGTTCCAGTTCCGGATGGAGATTTGGAGGGTTTCTTAATAACACTTTACACTTCTATAGCTTTCATCAGAGGAGGCTATCAGTGTGCTTGCAAGCAGTTAATTAAGCTTCACAGCAGCTTTTCCCCACATGGTTGAAGGGAGGCTCAGAGCTCTGAAGAGACTCACTCGTGGTCACACAGCTAGTCAGAGACAGGATGAGAACCTATATGACCTGGTTCCATGCTCTAACCACGATACCATGCTCCCTTCTTTCTTAGCTTAACATGAAGGGACGGGTTCAACCATCTCTAATGATTCTCCACCCTGAGAAAGTGCCCAAGGGACTGTGTGTTCGGTACATGAAGAAACAAACTTACTTTAAGCACCAAGTAACATTCCTGAGTCTCTGAGCCACCAGCACCCTAGCACGAAGGAGAGAATACTAGGAACCTTTCTGAGATTCATCCATTGCGACTTCATAACCGAGCATGGGCATGGGAGAACCTGAGGGTGTTTGAGAATGAGGGTGAGCCCTGCAACACTTTGCTGGTGAGAACTTCCTTCTGGTTGGGATACATATCTACAGTGGGTTGGCCTTGTCTATAGAATAACCCAGTGCTCCTGCAGGGAGTCAGCATTTTTGGCAGTTTTCGTGGTTTGCCCCATGGATACGTGTAGCCAGGGCTAGCCAGCCTTTGGTGCTTACTTGGGCACCATTATCCATTGGCTTTGAAGGATGCTATTTCTTCCTCCACCCAAAAACCAAACCAAACCAAATCCAATTATTAATCATCAGAATTTACAGCCAAGGGAAACTACACGTAGGGGAGATGTTGCACTTAGCCAGCTGGGGCTCTCTCTTTTGCCATCATTTCTGTCTATCAACACACAAGAAATTAATGTGGTAAAACATTGTCACTTTATACTGAATTTGTTATAAAGATCAACTGCTGCAGTCATTGCATTCTGAATCAAAATTAACAGGTGAGCTTGTTGTTTATTATCCTGGAAATGCAGGAAATAAAGTAGATAAAAACGAGGGGAAAAACATGAAAATTCATAATTATCCAACAACATTAATTAAAAAAAAAGGTGTGGGAGGTCTTTTCAAGGCTATTTCTCTATTACCAGATCTCCCAATTGTGTCATGGACTCATCTGTTTATCCCCAAGAAACAGTAACTTAAGGTGTCAAGACTGAGATGCCCCTTTGATCAGCTCCCTGTTGCATTTTCAGGGCTACACTCTGGCTAGCCCTTGAAATTGATCAAATAGCACCACCAGCAACTACACACCACACAACAAAAACACCAAACCAGGAACCAAACCCTGCAACAAACCCTGTTGCCAACTCTGTCCGCATATCTATTCAAGGGACAGCATCATAGGACCTAACCACATCAGCTACACCATCAGGAGCTCATTCACCATCTACCAATGTGATATATGCCATCATGTGCCAGCAGTGCCCCTCTGCCATGTACATTGGCCAAACCAGACAGTCTCTACGCAAAAGAATAAATGGACACAAATCAGACATCAAGAATTGTAACTTTCAAAAACCAGTAGGAGAACACTTCAATCTCCCTGGACATTCAATAACAGACTTAAAAGTGGCAATTCTTCAACAAAAAAACTTCAAAAACAGACTCCAACGAGAAACTGCAGAACTGGAATTAATTTGCAAACTGGACACCATTAAATTAGGCCTAAATAAAGACTGGGAGTGGATAGGTCACTACAAAAGGTAATTTCCCCTCTGCTGATACTCACCTTCTTGTCAACTGTTGGAAATGGGCCACCTTGATTGCATTGGCCTCGTTAGCACAACAAAAGTAATTTCCCCTCCTTTGATATTCACCCCTTCTTGTCAACCGTTGAGAATATGCCACTTCCATCTTAACTGAATTGGCTTGTTAGCACTGACCCTCCCCACCCCCACTTGGTAAGGCAACGCCCATCTTTTCACATGCTATATATTCTGCTTACTGTATTTTTCACTCCATGCATCTGATGAAGTGGGTTTTAGCCCACGAAAGCTTATGCCCAAATAAATTTGTAAGTCTCTAAGGTGCCACAAGGACTCTGCATTGTTTTTGCTGATAAAGACTAACACGTCTACCACTCTGAAACAAATAGCATCAGGAATTCAAGTGCAAGTCCTGGGAACTCTTCTGCTGGCAGTGGAATCTGTGATTCTGACTGCGGGATTCCAACATGGGTGATAAAACACTGGGAATCACTGCAGGCAAATGGCCAGGGGTTCCATCCTGAATGCTCCCAAACCATTTCAGCACAGCATCTCTTTCACAATGAGACCGTAGCAGGGTTCAGCCAGAGATTTCACCAACTAAATGCTCTGACCAATCATTTTGCCAGAGCTAATTCCCATAGGGATAAAAGGAAGGTGAGGGATTCCTCCCCACCCCCAATTTGTGTTAATGGTGAAGATCTGTCATGATTCTACTTCTGACCTCTGGGCATGTAGGGGTTTCCTGCCTCCTCCCTCTGGCCAGGCGATTACTGTCTGGTACTCAAAGAGTTTCCTTTTGCCCAGCTCCTTCCCATTGTTCTGGAGCCAGGCAACAACTAAGTGCCTCAAGGTCACTTCACACCAACTGTCTGGTGGGTAATAATCTCTCCTCAGAGTGGCTGGGCAGAGGCCGAGAAACATCTTGCTCTGATGTTTACAACTCCATGTTTGATCAGGGATCCTGGGAAACAGCTCATTGCCTTTCCCAGGAGAGAGGCAGCCTGACCTCATGCTCAAAGCGCTGGGAGTAAGGAAATCCTGAGCATTAACCCCTGACTCTGGTGCTGACTCCCTGCGTGGGCTCCAGCGAGTCACTTAACCTTCCTGCAGGCCACAATCACCACTGGAGTAAGCAGGGCAGTGGAAGCTGAGGTTTCCGACACCACAGCTTTATCTGGGCCTTGGTTCAGTTTCCCCCACTGTCACATGAAGAGGGGGATGCTTACTCACTTCAGCGAGGGGTTGAGAGATGAGTGAGTTGAAAAGGTAAAGTGCTAAGTATGAACATATCCGAGTGGAAGGTGCCCCTCGCTGCCCTGGGTTAGCTCCCCCAGGTCCCCACACGAACTAGCTAAGTGAACCAAGCATTCCTCCTCCTCCGCTGCTCATTCTGGTAATTATTTCCCTCTCAGCATCTGCTACAGCAGGGCTTCTCAACCTTCTTCCTTCTGAGTCCCCCTCTCGCCCCCCAACATGCTATAAAAACTCCATGGCCCACCTGTGACACAACTACTCTTTTTCTGCATTTCCAGTAGATTAAAAGCGGTATTAAAGTGATAGTTATACCATTAAACACACACATATAATAGAAAAGGCAAATATAGGTAAAAAATAAAAAACTGCATGTTATTTTTGTTTTACTTAGTCATGGGTGAAACTTGTTGCTGGTGCTGACCCACAGGCTGGGTGGCTGGCTGAGGTGAGTCAGGGAGTGGAGGTGACACTCCCTTCCCAAGCCCCACCGCCCAGGGCTGAAGCCCAAGCCCCACCCTGTCGGCTGGGACTGAAGCCTGGTTTATTTTAGCAGACCCCCGATTGAGAACCACTGTGCTACAGGACCATTCTGTACTCTAGTAGAACAACATGCCCATTCATGAGGGATCTGGCCCCAGGGAACAAGAGAAACTCAGGAGGACTGGGCAGAGAGGGAGAAGGGAGGGCGCACCTCACGGCACTGCTTGGTACTTGGAGTGGCCCTGAAAGGTGCTGTCTTTAGTCCAAGGGAGGATTAGCATGGGGCATCAGTGGGAGGAGAATGAAGTGGGTGGAACAACTGTGTGTGTGTCCTGGAACCCCTCACACAGTAACCTGAACCCTAACATGCAGTGGGAATACCCTCCTGTGGTGATTGCATGGGCTTCTCCACTCACCTTGTTTCCTGGTAGTATATTTAGCTGGATATTCCATTGCTAGCCTCATGAGCTGACAGCAGCACACACCCAAATGCTGCTCATGGAAAGTCTGAATTTCAGCAATGTTCCTCTCCTGAGGGCCTGAGAGGGAATCCAGAAAGTACAGTCTCTTTTTCCAAGGCCTGACTTTGAAAAACAACAAACAGGGCAGGCCCGGCACATGAAGAAAGCTTTCCACTGCCCATGAAACACACTTAACATCTCATCACAGGCAGCAGCTATGTGTCAACAAAAAGGATATTTAGAGTGCATGTGAAAGTGAGGGGCGGACAGTCCTGGCTAGAGATGAGTGTAGTACACACAGGTTCTATGCGAGGTTCCCACACATAGCTGTGCCAATGCACCTTATGCATGACCTGCATCACCCCCTGCTCTCTCAGTTCTGGCCTCTCCCCATACAGCTCTGCTAATGCACAGTAGACTTGACCTGCAGCACCCCCGCTATTTTAGTCCTGATCTCCCCACAGTAGCTCTTGTCAATGCCCCTCAATCCTGACCCACAATATCCCCCACCGTTTCAGTGCTAGACTCCCAGCATAGCTCTGCCAATGCGCTCCAGCTCTGATTTACAGTCCTCCCGGCTAGTCCAGTCCTGCTCATGCTGCAGATTCATAGACTCAGATTCCAAGGCCAGAAGAGACCACTGTGATCATCTCGTCAGCCCTTCTGTATAGTACAGGCCAGGGAAGGGAACTTTCCCAAAACAATTCATAGAGCAGATCTTGTAGAAAAACAGCCAATCTTCATTTTAAAATTGCCAGTGCTGGAGAATCCACCACAACCCTTGGCAAATTGTTACAAAGGTTAATTATCCTCACTGCTAAACATTTACACCCGATTTCCAGTCTGAATTTGTCTAGCTTCAGCTTCCAGCCATCGGACCATGTTATACTTTTCTCTGCTAGAGTGAAGAGCCTTATCAAATATGTGTTCCCCATGGAGGTACTCCTAGACTGAGCTCCTTGAGAAGAAGATGCATACCTAGTAGGAATGGGTAGGCAGTGTA